GCTGATGCTTTCACTAACTTTTTTCCACTCCATTTTGAAAATGTCTGCTGAAATTTCACACACACACATGCACAAAAAAAAGAAAAAAAAAAAAAAGAGAAAAAAAAGGAAAAAAAGAAAAAAAAAGAAGGAAAGAAAAACAAAAAACAAAAACATGTACTCTGGTTTGTTAATCATCAGGCAAACAAATGTCACCAAATTTGTTGCATATCTCATATCAATAACTAATTTAATGGGTAAGTAAAAATAACATGCTTTATCATACCAGCCTATATTAGAAGTGTGCATTATAGGGAAAAAATATCACACAAAACAGACATAAAATGACTCATCTTTAATAAGCCCACATTGAGAAGATAAAAGATAAGTAGAGAAAAAAAAGATAATGATGATAAGATATTAAGGAAATATAAAAGAAGATTGGTAAAAATATTATGAAGCTGAAAAAGAAATGAAATCATGCAACCAAGTCCAATTTCTTGGGAAAGTTTACCTACCCGAAAAGCAAAGGAAACTATTTCTTCTTTCTGTAATGCAGGAGATTTCAATGTAAATTCCTCTATGTACAATGATCTGCATACAATTTGGCTTTCATTTCCCATTGTTAGTAATTTATGAAGGAAAACATAAGAATCATCTTTGGAAATAACTTCACCAATATCAACACCAAATATCTTTGCTGTGAATGATGACCACGAGGTACCTTTTCTTTTCATGTGAATGGAATGTAGTAAACCTAGCTGCAAGCAATTCATAAATATTTGGCTGATTTCTTACCTCCTTATATGTTGTGAATGAGGCATAATGATTCTAAGCTAATAAATCTTGCTTTGCCTAACATATTTTTCTTCAGCCTTATCCATTATTCCATCCTCTCCACTTTTCCCCTTGCATCCCCTCTCCTGAAACTTTAAAGACTGAAATTTACCTTCGTGAAATTTGAAAAATCAGACCCTACTTATAGCTTGAAGGAGAAGGGCTCTAGCCTATTAAAACTGTACATCTCTAAGATTCCATGAATAGCAAAAGGATCTTGACAGTTGGATTACACAGCAGTATCAACAGAAGTTCATGCCAATTTTTTCTTTGAAAAAAGAAAAAGAAAAAGAAATGTAATATAAGAAAAAATGAAACCTTAATTATCAAAGGTTATTTCCAAAAATAATTTTTATGTTTGCATTTATTGATCTATGTTATTATTTCTGTGTTCAAATGCATTCTGATGAAAAGTTATTAATCATGTTTAATTAGCTAGATTGATATGCAAACAAAATCACTTACACTTATTTCTGTTAAGAATGATATTCACAATCAAATTTTCAGGAACACTTGGCTTTACATTGTTTTACTTTTGCAAGTATTGCATAATGCTGAAAAAAATCTTTCAAAGGACAAATTTTATGTTTTTTTCTGTGCACTGATGCAATCTCAGTATCTTTGACAAGATTTCCAAAGCAACTGATTCATAATCTCATCTCTTATTCTTTCATATATCTCCTGTGGCAGTTCATTTAAGGAATCCTAGAATACTACAGAGTATGAAATCAACATAATATAATACCTCAAATGTTCACTGAATGTCTTCAGTAATCAAGTAAGTCTATACACAATGAGCCCATTTGTGACATAGACATATGAGGAGACAAGAAGAAACTGTGTTTTGAAGTCTTACAAATACCAAGGCCTCACAACTATAATAGTCCACATTGCGTTTTGCTGATATTTATGCCGATCTTTGCAAAAGGTTACAGAATGGAGACATCAATATAATCTATTCCTGTATTTAACAATTCATTCATTTGATTTCATCATGCAATGTAAGATCATGGCAACAAATACTGAGGGATTATTTTGAAGAAACTATAACAAACCATCTGTAATACACAAGTTCTCAGTATAATAATTCTCATAATATTGCTATATCATCATCATATCCCAAACTCATATTTTCTTTTCTAATCATGACCTTTTTTTTACAATGCAAATAACATGAACATAGACATTCATGCAGTATATACATATGACATCACATGCTTAGAGTAAAGTGCAACACAAACTCACTTATTCAAAAAAGAACGAAACAATACAGATCACCTATACGGTATTGAATGTTGAAGATGTTATTACTTAAGAACAATATAATAACAAGTCATAAAAGTCTATTGATTAACATGGGTTGTCTGTATTTACTAAAATATCAACCCGATTCCACAAGTGCAAGCAACGAGTGCCTGTCTATGAATCCTACGACCACTGCGCCTGTCACTCTTTCAATATTTACCAAAAGTACCCACTTCCACCAAAATCCACATTCACCAACCGATCCACCCTTCTAAATCGGAACATTCACCACCTTTCTATCCAAAAGAAACACTTTAATTACAGAAAAACAACACGAAAATTACCCAGGTCTTCTGACAGGTTTCCCTCCGCGTCACTCCCATAACACCTTCCCTCTCACAAACTTCTTTAAAACTTTTACTAAACAAAACCAACTTAC